TGCTGTCTCAGTGCACCCCGGGGGTGGGGCCAGTACCGCAGGCCCAGGGATAGAAACCCAGGGCCCTGCGCCTGCTTGCAGGCACTTTAATCCGCTGAGCTTTTTGGCCAGCCCAGATTTTTGTTTCTTGTTTAAAGTAAGAACTACAAAAATTTAAATATTTCCCCAGATGGAACGAAAGGGTATGGAAGAGGCAAATGAGTAAATAGTATAGACTTTAAACTCAGAAAACTGATCAGTGAGCACAGGAGACAGGAGGCACATAAACTAGTAACCCAAGAACTGTGGCACAATGTGTGTGTGATTCATCGTGCCAGACTATGGGACTGAGGACCAGAACCATCTGGAAATTCAGGAAAGCAGAGCAGCACAGGGGGCTGGTAAAAGACAGGGTGAGGGCAGTGTCGCTCAAAGAGCATCTAGGGATTCGGGATTTGGAAGGAAGAGCAGGTGCGTGGCAGGAGGTGTCAGTGGAAGAGGATCGAGGGCCATGATTTAGAACATAGACTGTGGAAAGTATATCCCAGATATCTTTTAGAACTGTGTTTTCCTCAAAGTGCTTACATTTATGTTATCCTACTGAATAAGCGAAATCTTGATTTCATCTGGAGGGTAAAGTGTTTCTTCTCTCAACAAAATGATCCTTTCATGAACTGACTGCTGTGTCTTCTATAAATAGTAAATCATGTTGGATTTTAAGTTTGTCTGTGCTCTTCATTAGTATTTTGGTGCTCTGCATCCACGGAGCATTAGACAGCCTGGGGCCCAGGCATCATAGGAATCCTTCAGATTAAAGAAATTCAATAGTTTAGGTCATGGTAGGGGCTTAATAAATGTTTGTCAAATCCGTGGAAGAAGTGAAAGGAAAGGAGAAACAAAAAAGATACGTGGAATTTGTAAATATTACTTCCCGTAAATATTACTTCTCGTTCACTTTTTGAAAGTCAGGCAAGAAGTTATTTAAATCAGAACTTAAATAGTATTTTGAATCTTATTTTTAGGTTTAACTTATTTCCATTTGCCAGATTTTCAAGAATAGAATGTATGATTGATATATTTTATTTCTTCTTTCAGATAATGATTCTTTGTTTTTTCTAAAGTTCTTAAAATTTTAAATAAATAACACAGACGAACATATGAGCAGTCCTTTTTTTTTTTTTTTTTTTTTTTTCAGGAATAGTCCACATTTGAAATACCAAAATCCAGTTCAATAGTCAGAGTGGGAAATACACAACTTTTGTTTCATACTTATAATACTCTGAAGTACATTTAAAAATAACTCCAGGAAATATTCCTAATAGCCTACATGAACTACTGACTGTATATAAACATTTCTGATCTCCAGAAGGAGGTACAGAGGGGAGTGGAATAAAGAATGTGAAAAGAAATAAGTACTTATTTACAAGAACAAACTCCTTTCTCCCAGAGGTAAATTATTTTTGGAGAAAAAATGAACCAGAATTCTTCGCATAAGCAAGAGCTGAGTAATGTAAACATCTTAGATGCTGCCGGGGATTTGAATGGCCATCTCAGCATTCCAGACTGCCCAGGCTTGCTGCGCATTGTGGGAAAAAGGCCACCAACTTTGACAGTCAAAGGACCTGCTCTCAGAGAAGCTGGGGCCCTTGGAGACATGTCACCTCGTGCGAGCCATTTATCCCCTGTGAGTGTGTTTCGTCATCTGAATGCATAATCGTGCTACTTCGCAGGATGGTTGTACAGATGTAAAGCCCACATTTGTGAAAAGCGTAAAGAAGTAACTTTGAAACAGTAGGAGCTCAACAAAAGTGTAAGCTACTAATTCCCACGCAATCATTCATGATAGACTTAGACTCTCAACTGGGCTCTGCTAGGTAGAACAAAATCTGAGCTCACTGTGGCTGAGATGGAAAAGACCTCCTGATTGTAACCGAAAGCAATCAAATCAACCTGCAACTTATTCTACGAGAGCATCCTTACAGACCTTGCACATGTGAAGGAATAAGGCTGTGGCCAATCTTCAGGGTCCAACATAAAAAAGCCAAGAAATACCAAGTGTGGACAGATATAAGCTTCTTCTTCTCAAGTATCGTAAGTTTCTGCTCTTTGTCACTTTCCCTTTGGCCAGCCCTGGTAGGTCTGCCCTCTAATTCACTCTCACCTACCCATGCTTCCCTCACAGGTACCACCCAGTGGCCTACTTAGGGAGTCTCAAATTTTAAGAATTTCTTCTTAAAAAGTTTTTAAGGCTCAGGAATAATTTTAAATTTCAAACAAATGATTCTGTACCTCTTAAAGGGCAAACTCTCTACCCTGTACTCCAATTGTGCTTATCAATGACAGTTCTTTAAAGTGTCCTGGATCTGTCCAAGGATAACACCATTGTAAATGGAAATGCTGCCTTAAGGGAATGTTAAAATATGGTTAAGTTATACACAGAATAAACAGAGCCCATTTGGGTCATCTTATTAAAATAAAAGAAAACTTCTACTTTTGGTTATAAAAATTAGTACAAAAAATTTAATACCTAAAACATTCCTTTAAAAGATATAGTATCTCAAAGAAAAGGCTTTGTAAAAGTCTTAAATCCATATAATATTCCATAGTATGGGTGAAATCTACTTTGCAGGCAGAAAAAAAATGCTTGTATGGGCTAGTCCTGGAGACACTGTTTTTACATCCGTTATTTTGAAGCCACAGAAAGAGCGGTGGAAGCAGAAATGCCAAACTGCAAAGGCTGTATGCATAATGCAAGTGCAAGACAACTTGTAATGGATACTTGTGCAGTGTTTTTATTATGGATACAATGGTGTTGAAGGAACCACCTCCGTCCATAAATACGTAATATCCTATAGCATGCCTATCCTGAGTAGAAGCGTGAAGTCGTCCATGTTTGTCTGCTTTGCGAGCATCCTGGCCTCTGTTCCTGTAACCTCCCCATGTTTACTCCCATTTCATCATCTCATTGCTGTCCCTAAAAGCTTGAGACTTCTCTTCATGATATTCACATGCCAAGTCATTAATGAGGGCAGGCCAGTTGATATTTGACCTCTTAACAGAAGTATTTGCATTAAAGAAAGATACAATTAGCAGGAAGCAACCCAACTTAAAGGAATAAATCCATAATGGTAAAATTTTAGATGCAGCAGTATTTGGGTCAGGGATGGTTTTTAAACATAGGACCTGAATTAGGAGGAAATTATTAGTAATAATTTCTTTCAATTTTATTTCTGAAACTTTGGTCATGAGATACCACTATGCTACAGTCATCATGTATTTCTTTAAAAACAAAACAAATGATGTGTAGACCCAACGCTCAGATCCTTAGATCAGAATCTCTACAAGAAAAGGGATATAACTTAAAATTAAAAGGCAGGTGGATAAATAAATACAAGGTGAGCACCATTATCCCAGTTTTGGAAATCATCAGTCAAACAAAGCATTGTCTTACAGACAAAAGCTTAAGGTTTCTGGCTTATCAGACCATTGCACCATGTCACAGCATATGGGGAACATCTCTTTCAGTGGTGGCATACTAGGAACACCTGTTTCATCTGTTGGTCTTACCAGGCACTCCAGCTTGGATCCAGAAGCTAATGTCTAACCCCTCTGCATCTCTGAAGACCTTGGTGACATTGAGTGGCTGCAGCAGGCTCATGACCTCCTCCATGATGGCTCTGGCCTCCTCGCTGCCAGTAAATTTTAGCCCAGCAGGTGAGAATAAGCCTGAATCAGACTCCATCACCAGGTTGTAGTTGGAGATATTTACCTAGACAAAAGAAAAAAAAGTGCAGTCCATATCATTGTTTCTATTCTTTTTCCTTGGGGACCATCAAACAATAATAACTGAACATTTCCCCTCCTCCCAAGTTGCTGCCCAAATACATGCTGCTCTCTGCCTGGCTTAGGATCTGGTTGACCTATTACGTAATGCTTGTGAGATGCACAGTTACTCACCCTGGAATTTGCCAAACTCAACAAATGACTTAAAAGAATTCAATCACTGCAATGAAGGGAATGTATTAAGATTGCTAATTATTTCTACTATTAGTAATATTCTTGCAATCAATTTTCTTAAGTATCAACTGTATACTAGGCCCTTTCTTAATTATCTGATAGTCAATTTCTTTTTTATGACAGGGATCTTTAGAGTGTTAGCCATGCTCAAACAAAACAAAATTTTGCTCTGTGGGCTTACTTCTGCACCTCTTTTCTCTAAGAGAGATACCCTATCTTATTTTAATTGTGAGCTCTGCCATAGCTAACAAGTATCAAACTGACAGATTCGTCTTCGGTTTCTGATTTTGTTGCTGTTCCATCCACCTAATCCCCAAGGAGGGCAGTAATAGAACAAGACATGAAACACTGTTCTCCCTGGTGTAAAACCACAGCACTGTAATCTCTGCCAGGCTGCCAATTTGTAAACTCTGTCCCAGTGAAGTCTGGTGAGAAATCACACAGTGATTTCATGTAGCCAGCATTGTCATGGCAGGAGCTTAAAACACTACAGTCTGTGGGCAGGCCAAAAGCCAAATTGTCGCCCAGCCATGACCTGCAAGTTAAAGGCTCATCAAGCTGGCCAGACCCTGTTTCTCAGGAGCCAACTCCTTCTCCAAGATCAATTGGCTATCACCTTGGTTGAATTATTTTCAAACTATCCTTAGACAGTGTTGCTACTCATTCCTTATTCCTCATCTACTGCAAATCGATAATAACATTTGTACAATGTTTCCAGGGAGCTTTCTTGTTTGCAATCTCCTTTGGTCTTCCTTGACAACCCACAAAATAGACAAAGCAGCTTCATTGTTGATGCATTTTGATAGGAAAGGAACTGAGGATCAGAAAAGTCAAGCGATTCACTCAAAGCCCTGAAGCTGGCAAATGGCAGTGTTGGCTCTGAAATCCTAGTGTTTCAAGCCACACACTGCCATAGCTAGCATGGGACTGGAATGATAAGTAACCCTTGCTCTGCATTAAAATGAGTTTTCACTTGCATAACGAGTTGAGGGTTGCATAAATAATTTTTCCTAAAGCAGATTCTATATTACACTGATTTCATAACATGCATTGTGAAAGTACACTGATGCCACAAAGGCAAGGCAGCTGTGGGCTCACAGAGACGATGCTGCTAGCACCTACAGGACTGAACCTGAGGCCCATGGACAGCAGAGTTCTTGTTGTCAGTGTTAATGATGGGAAGGTTAACAAAGCAGCAGCCTGCTCACATTTCACTCCCAGTCCTAAGGAATTTTTGTGAAAGACTCAAGGCATTATTAATAAAAGAGCCACCTCAGTCTTCAGCTATGGCTACTGCATAATAGTACCATCGTTAGAGCTAACAAGTGCAAATGATCTGCACACATGTCTTGTATTCAGAGTTCATTTAACTACATGCTGCTGAGATCAGCAGGTGGATGCATGATTTGGCAATCCTTGGCCTCTTCCAGTGTAGGCTGGCTATCTGGGTTACTTGGGCTACACGCATCCCAAACTATGGGTCCCTTGCAAGAAGGAGAAAAGTCACAATATTTCTTGCAAATGAAAACAAAATTGGGCCTTTCTATATGTGAAGATATCCACCTCATAGATCAGGCAGATCCCATGTTTCCAACAAAAAAGTCAGGCCAAGTGCTCCTAATTATGTACTATTTGGGTTAAAAGTGGACCCAGTTAGCAGGTTAGCTGTCAGAGCCAGCACTAATGAGCATCCTGGTGAGGTGGATGCAGTTTGCTTCTGACACAGCAACTGACACTCTCGGCTACAAAAGAGGGCGGTGAGTGGCCTCTCCTTGTCTCCATAAATCATGTAACCTTGGCCCTTGGCTTCCGCAACTTCAAGCTGGGACAAATGTTCTCTCCCAAGCTTGGATAATGAACCATTATGTATGGGTCTTCTACCAACTTTAAAGAAAAGGGCTGTGGAGACCAAAGTCAGAGTGGTTGCATGAATCACAATTACCAGGGCTTCTAACAGCACATTCATTAAATGTTATCTGGGCTTCTTTAACTTCTTTAAATGGACAGATGTCCTAGGGACACAGAACATCACAGCATGGGCATGCCAATGTGCATATCAGAGGATGTCCACAGGAGAAGAAGGGGTAATGTAAATGCAGGAGCTTTCAAAGGTGCCCCAGGCCATATATGTGGTAGTATTTTAGCAGAGGTAGGAAGTGTGTGGACTTTGGAATTACCCAGATGGGTCCAGGTCCTCATGTTAACCAATATTTAGCTGTGTGATGACTTGAGGCACTCTGTCACTCTGTCGCTCAGCTTCTTCCTCCATGACATAGGACGATAAAGCTATCAGACTGCATTGTAAAGTAGGTAGCATTTTTGTAGCACTTTCTGAAAGGCCAACACTGCATGAATTTCTTGCAGCTCTTCCCATGAACTGTCAAGATAAATGCAATTGTATTTTTCACTTCACAGAGCAGCCATCGACGTGTAGTCAAGTTATGGAACTTTCCCTAGGTTACCCAGCTAGCAAGTGGTGCAGTTAGAACTCTTACCTAGAAGTATGCTTCTGTTGGCCTGGGTCCTCCACCCTCCACTCCCCTGACTCTTGAAGCTCACTTCTCATCTCCCAACTGCAAGTCAGAAACACTGAAACTCCAGTCCAACAAATAGATTTTTAAATAGGATTTTTCACAATCATAATCAAAGTCACCTTGGATAGAGAATAATTTCAGAATGAGAAGAGCAAAAAGCAGAACAAAACATTCTTACTTCGGAGTTTCCTTCCAACTAGGACTAAAAAGTTTAAAACATAAAAATCTCTTTTCAAGAGAATAAGACCAGATGTGTAGATATCAGTGACCCAAAATTCTGGACTAGGAAGAGATGTGTTTGATGTCCATTCATGTGTGGCTGCGTTAGCTGCTGCTGACATGACGGCAGTGTTCTCTTGTTTTCTATTTATACATAAACATCTCCATATGTTTTCAAAAAGGATTAAGAAAACAGAGCGCCACCACCCATGCCACTGCCCTTTCTCCTTATTTATGGAGTCACCATCTAATCATTAGCACATGGTGAAGGAGTTGGGAAAACAGAATGTCAGTACACAAAGGAATCGGAGTGAATAGCTGGGTCACTGGGCTGTTAGAACTGCTGCCTCTCAGGAATGTGTTGTCACAGACATCCAGAGTCCTTACTCTGCCATGAGATGTTGGGGACACAGTGTAGATGGGAAAAACTGATTATTTCTAGTGATAGGGAAGGGGACCATGGCCATTTTATTCACCTCTTTGTAACACATGTCACAAGATATCCATCCTCTTGTTTACAGGGTGCACAAAGAAATCCACTTCTAAAGACTTTATGTTTTATAAGTGAGATAACCAGCCCTCACCCATGCTTTACGAGTGAGACAAGACAGGGTACATAGATGAGGAGGCTGAGCAACTCAGTGATAAACTCAGATATTACCTATAGCCCCTCCTTTGTTCTCTCAATAAAGGAAACATCTATTAGCAGCCATCAAAACTGCCACGCATTACATGTAGTATATAGAGCGCAACATAGAAAAAAGTGTTCTTGGGTAATCTCCTTAATTGGAATCAGTTAACATCTGCACAAGGTTGAGGATTCATAACTTTGACATGTACTAAAGTCACATCCTATGTTTCCATTCTTTTAGGCATCCTGCTACTCTGTCCCAAAACAATTTAATAACCATTAGCATTCTTTGGGTACAGCATTAAATTAAAAAGAAGAGAACTGTTTAAGATGTATATTGCATGTTTTAAAATTCTTACTTCTTAGTGTAAACACAAGGATGATGTTTGTACTCTTTGTTTTTATAAAATTCCAGGAAATTCTTAGAAATACAGACTCAAATTCAGTATTATCTTCTCTGCTCCCAAATTTGGCTGCTTCCTCCTTGTTGAAAAGGATTTTTCTTATAATCTAGAGGAAATAACCAATAAGAAAACAAGTATATTTTCTTACGTTTCTCAACCTGCCTTTGGTTTGGACCTTAAATGACAATGAAATCCGAAAATCAAATGAAAGGGAAAAGCATGCTGATTATTTGAATTAATCATGGGGCTTCCTCAACTCAATCTTCAAAAAAAAAAAAAAAAGTCCACATTGACACAGAGCAATCAAAACTATTAATAATTAGTGGGGAATTAATGGAGTGAGAAAGGAGTGTTGAGGCTGATTGCTCTGTGTAATGTGGACTTTACTCTTTTTTGAAGACTGAATTGAGATTTTCTTGATTGGTGGCTACACTGTTTGGTGTGCTCAGACAAGTTTGTTATCTTTTTGTTGTTGTTGTTGTTTTTTGTTTTCAGTATCTGAGATTGAACTCTTTGCACTTGCCAGGCAAGCGTTTATTCTACTGAGCTATCTCCATGGCCCATCAAACAAGTTTTGGCATGCTAAGCAGCTGTGATCATGATCAGCTTTCCCAGCTGCACCAATGGGTCTAGACTTCCCTTTTCCTAGGGGTGAGTGCAGCAGTTCTTCCAAAAGGAACAATGGAAACCATTTCCGTAATCAGATAATAGGTAAAGAACTGTCTCCTACTATAGGAAGTCAAATATTGGCTTTGCTTTCTGCTCAGGGCTACCCTAAAGTTCACACTTTTATTTTTGATAGACTCCAGCATTTCTTTTGGAACAGCCTTGAGTACCCAAAGGAGTCAGAGGAAAGACAAGGTAAGGGGCCACAAGTTACTTTCATTTGACAGCTAAGCCTGCTGCAGCTTGGGGAAATGGGCAATCCTGGGAAAGTCACACTGACACTGAGCTTGAAGATGCC